TTGCCAGGCAGGCGCTTTTGCCGCTGAGCTAAATCCCCAGCCCCGCTAATGAGCTGATTACTGATGGTCGGCTGATGATCCCTACCCGGGCTGAGTGCACGTGGTGCGGGGTGTGGGAGGCTCGCCCGAGGATGGTTGCCATCAGCTGAGAGGCAGGAATGGAAAGGGATGATGCATTTCTCCTGTTGGTCTGAGTTACGTTCTGGGTTCTCCTGATCCCAGACTTTTGCCTCTCCTGTTTTTCTTATCTCTTTTACCTTTTCACCCACCAGCACCTCATTCTCTGGACCTGTCACTACAGATAATACCAACATACCTCTTAACTCTTTAAACTGTGATACAGGAAAATAAAAACTCCCAACCTGAACGATATCTGGGACGAGTTCATGTTCTCTAAAATTTAAGAATGAATTTTAGGAACAACGGAGATTAACAGCAGAATGTATTTATTGAGGAAAAGAAAGCTTCTGTCCAAGAGAGGGACAGAAGGGGGACCCGAGTGGGTTACCCAAGACTGTCTTTTCTAGGGACTTTTGGGAACATTTTTTTTTTTTTTCTTTTTTTTGATTTCTTTTCCGGTACCAGGAACCAAAATCAGGACCTCGCACTTGCCAGGTAAGTGCTGTGCCACTGAGCTAAATCCCCAGCCCTCTAGGGACTTTTATAGAGCAAAACCACGAGGAAGGGTGGGTCCAAGGTAGGGGAAAATGGACAAAATTATGGTCAGCCAATAAGAACTGTTCAGGTAAAACTGACTAGAGATCAAATGGGGAGAGTCATGTAGCAAGCGGGCATGAATACAGAACAGGGGCTTTTCCTGTAAGGGGTTGAGTCAATGGCTCTTCAAGGTGATCTCTACTTATTTAGAATATCAATCCCTGCTGTCCATCCCTAAGGAAGTATGTGGATGCAATTGTTTAAGTCTTGTCTTGAGGTCTGGCCCACAGCAAATATGTATCTTTCATATTGGCTCCTTTGAGGGCCTGGCCCTGTCTGACTGCCTAAAATATTTCTATCTAACTTAGCTGCCTATAACAATTGTTTTTTTTTTTTTTAAATGGTACTTTTGCGGGGGATATAGCTCAGTGACACAGTGCCTGCCTGGCAAGGGCGAGGTCCTGAGTTCAATTCCTAGTACAGAAAAAAACAAAAACGGTGCTATTTTCTTTTTTTGGTCTTTTTGAGACAGAGTCTCGCTATGCAGTTCAGGCTGGCCTTGAACTCATGATGTGTAGCCCAGGCTGGCCTTAAACTCACAGCAATCCTCCTGTGTGGGGGCTGATCAGTCCGGATTGTGGAGGACATTCTTTAATTAGAATGCATTGAGGCGGCTGGGGATTTAGCTCAGCAGCAAAAGTGCCTGCCTGGCATGCGCAAGGTCGTGAGTTTGGTTCCCGGTACCGGAGAAAAACCAAAAAAAAAAAAAAATAAATAAATAAAATAAAGAATGCATTGAGGACACAATGATTTGTTAGAGTTTCTTAAGGTAAGGCTGTATTATACAGCCCGGATTAACCTTGAGTTTATGATACTCCTGTCTCAGCCCCCTGAGTACTGGGATTATAGGTGTGTATTGGATCTCATGTGGGGAAGGGTAATCCTTTAACTATCCTTGCTAGAACATTTGGTATCCGCTCATTTGTACTTGGTACACCCTTGGTTCTGGCTCAATAAAGGTGATGAGAATTGGTATTGTGGGAGAGCAGTCTGAGAGGCTGTAAGCCCCTTGATCTCAGAATTTTGTCTCTCTAATTTTGCTTGTCTCTCTCTCTCTTTTTTCTTTTCTTATTCATCCACGGGCACCTCGTTCTCAGGACCGGTTCACCCTGGAGAGATAGGGAGTAGTCCGACACCCGGTATTTCTAGAAAGGGGTATGGCAAGGGATAAAGAGAGGTTTAAAGTACGTGGGGTGGGACGTGGGCTGGCTGGGAGGTCAGTGCCTCAGGATGGGGGAAGACGACACTCCTGGGCTAGCCACTATTTTTGGGGTGTACATAGTAACTGGAGGGGTACTGGATGACTCAGGGTGGTGGTGGTCTTAAGGGCATGAGGATCTGTGCTGATGAGGGTGGTGGGAAGAGATGGCAAGTTAGTAAAGTCTGCCCTTCTTCCCAGGCGGAATCTTTGATTACTACACAGTTCTCAAGGAACTAGAAGGTCTTCTGTCTAGGACTGTTCTATATTTTGGGGGAGAAATCATTTCATGATTAAATTGTGATTAGGGCTCATCTGAGGCCTAGTGCCTTGCTGTGGGAGCCGGCCATGATAGGCAGAAACTAACACTGTGTGCCTGTAGTCACAGTTGAGGCCTCATGGGTGCCCTGATGCTGTGATGCTCCAGGGCAAGGTTACATCAGAAGAAGACATCTGAGTAGTAATTAGAAAGGAAGGTGGGAGTGGTGGTGTGATCCCAGCACTCCCAGCACTCGGGAGGCTGAGGCAGGAGGATCGCCATGTGTTTAAGGCCAGCCTGGGCTACATAGGGAATTGTTTTTTTTTCTTTTTGTCTTTTTGAGACAGGGTCTGCCTATGTAGTTCAGGCTGGCCTTGAGCTCACTTTGTAGTCCAGGCTGGCCTCGAATTCCCAATGATCCTCCTGCCTCCGCCTCCCGAATGCAGGGATTAGAGGCGTGCACCACCACGCTACATAGTGAGTTCAAGGCCAGCCTGAACCGCATAGTGAGATCCTGTCTAAAAAAAAGGGTCTCACCTTGGGGAAAGGACACACTCCCTGCTAACCTGCCCTCTCCCCCCACTTTCCTCAACATGAAGACGCTTGTTAACATAAAACCACCACTGCCATAATCCCCTCACCATTTTCTTCAGTCACTAAATGTCAGGTTCTGGCTGCTTCGTGGTCTTCTGCTTCCTGTGGTCCTCCCAGTTTCACACTGCATGCCATTTTGTCTCTTGCTCTTTTTCTCCATGTGGCCATAACACCTGGCAGGAAGCCTGCGCCCACTGCAGGGTCCCTAACAGTCTTCTGCTGATGTAATCTTGCCCTGGGGCATCACAGCATCAGGGGAACCGTGAGGCCTCCACTGTGACTTTAGGCACACCAAGTTCGCTTCTGCATACCATGGCTGGCTCCCATGGCAAAGTACTAGACTTTGGACCAATCCTAATCACAAGTTCATCATGAAATGACATCTCCCTCAAAATTATATAGAATGGCTCTCAATACTCCTGCTTCAGCCTCCTGGGTGTTGGGATTACAGGCAGGAGTCAATGCTGTTTTTGTTTTGACAGGGTCAAAGCTGAGATCCAGACTGGTCCTGAATTCACTATGTAGCCCAGGCTGGCCTTAAACTTGTGAAGGATTTTCCTGTCTCAGCCTCCCAAGTGCTGGATTGCAGGCCTGTGCCATCACCCCCAGCTAGGTTTTTTTTTTTTTTCCAGTATTGGGAATCGAACTCACCACCTCGCGCTTGCCAGGCAGGCGCTGTGCTGCTGAGCTAAATCCCCAGCTAGTTTTTAATGGGCAACACTGTTTTACCTGAGGGGCAATGTATTCTTTTTTTGGGGGGCCGATGTATTCTTGAGCAAGACAGCAAGATTGTGAAAATGTTTAGTTCCTGCATCACTTTCCTGTGGCTACACGGTAACGCCACCTTGGTGGCAAGACACAAGCAGAGCTGCAGGACCTGGCCGGGTGTGCAGACCTGCATCGCTGTGTTGGAGCTGCCCGGTGCTGCATCACACCTCAAGGGTCTCCTTTCCCTCAAACCCCTCCTGTGACTTATTTCCGCCCCTTTTAAGAATTAGCCCATGCCGGGTATGGTAGCACACGCCTGTAATGCCAGGACTCAGGAGGCTGAGGCAGGAAGATTGTTGCGAGTGCTACACCAGCCTGGGCTACCAAGTGAGCTCAAGGTTTGCCTGAACTGCACTGAGTGACCCTGTCTCAAAAGTACAAAAAAAAAAAAAAAATTTCAATAAAAGCTAAATAGCCAACTGGCTTCAAATGAATCAGCCGTACTGATGTAGGCAGATAGAAACACACTGCACTCTTAGCATGCTTTGATCACCTCCAGCCCCATTTCCTGACAAGAGGACACCGAGGAACAGCAATCAGGTGTTTGTTCGCTGAGGTCACACAGCCAGCACCCGGCAGTACCAACCCCAGCATCCTAGCCCTATACCCTGAACGTCACTCCCGGGCTGCCTCCAGCTTACTCCTTCCACTCTCCCAGACACTTCCTCCAGCTTCTAGTGGGAGCTCCTGGGCCAAAGCTCTCATTTGGGAATGGAGGTTTTTTGTATTCCATTAACTGTTCAGCTGCACTGCGTATCTGCTAGTCTCCCTCATGTTAGGGCCACCAGGAGTGCAGAGACATCACTATTTCTCCAGGGGACAAAAAACCACACCTGGTGAAGAGCCACTCATTTATTTCAAGTGATTTTCACTGATTCTTTCCTTTCTCCAGGAGTAGAACACAGGAATCAAACAAGGGAATGGTGGTTTTTGTGGGCAGGCTGCAGGCACTCCAGCCATGAGCTCAGCACGAGGCAGCAGGAATAAGGTACTTGCCCCGAGATTTAGACATGCTGGTCCTGGGTTTGGGGTGGAGACTGAGGACAGAATCCAGGGCCTATGCCCATTAAGCCAACGTGTGCCGAACTGCCCAGGCCCTTCAACTTTCCTGTTCCCTCACACAGAAAGGCTGGGCTCTGTTGCAGTGTCCTTGGTCCCCTTCTCATTGCCCTTAAAATGCCCAGTCACTAGGTAACCATACCGAATCAACAAAGTCTTTGAACCCAAGCTCCCTACTAACATATACTGATGCTTCCTCAGGATGGGAAAAGGCAGCATTACACATTGCTGTGCTGGGGACGTGAGAAGTGCAGGGTCTTTGAGCTCAATTCCTGGCACCAGAACCAAAAAAGCCGTAACAAACTGCTATGCAAAGCTGAACAAATCTTTCAAGTGAACTGTCAAGTTTACTCCCAAGTAGGTGCCTATGAGGAACCACCCCAAAGCAAGGACCACACAGAAGAGTTGAGAAAACAGCTTTATTACTGAGATGGGCATGACTCCACACCTACACCAAGTTCATTCAACAGCAAGGGTGAAGTGTAATGTCTCTTCTTATTAATTCTCCCAGATAGCAGACGCCTGCAGAGGAAAAGGAAAAGCTATTTGGCTATGGAGGAGATAATGTTTACAATCAGGTTCACTAGGGGTCATGCTTCACAGTAGTCAACAAAATGCCAACTTCTAGACAGAACTAAATCTGTCACTTACAGTATTAAAATACTGGACACCACTGGGCATGGTGGCTCATGCCTGTAATCCCAGCACTGCAGAGGAGGCTGTTCTGAGTTTGAGACCAGCCTGGACTACAAAGTGAACTCAAGGCCAGCCTCAACTGCACAGGGAGACCCTGGCTCAAAAAGACAAGAAAATAAAAAACTAGACAACTATGTTTGAACGGATACCTACCACTTGTATATACTGTGTCCTTTCCTGGGACCTAGAAAAAACAAATCATGTTCTTGTAACTGATCAATCTTTTCTTTCCCTGCACAGAGAAAAAAATCTGATGATCCCTCAGACAGTTCTTTCTAGAACAAATTTTCCTCTTTTCCCCCAGCCAGCCCCAGTGGGTTCACCTTTACAGGCTCTGAGGCTAGACAGGAAGTAAGACTTGTGAATGTTTCATCACTGGGTAATTTTAGCTTAGTTCACCTTACTTGCATGTACACTCACCTGTCTTGGACTGAGAAGAAACATGATTTTTGCAGCTGGATGCAGCTGACACATGCCTGTAACCTCATTCAGGAGGCTGAAGCAGGAGGGTTGTCATGAGTTCAAGATCAGCATGAATGGCATAGGGAGACCCTGTCTCAAAAAGTGAAAACATGGTTTGCTTTCTCTATGAAGAGATTAAGAGTAAAGTCTCAGTTTTAGTGTTGGTTTCAAGGCATACATATAAAAACCACTACCTAATCCCAAAAATTGACTGTAAAGTTTGACGACTTTCTAGTTTTACTCAGTGAGCTCAACTCAGAAAATACCTTTCTGTCACAGTGATCAGACTGGGGCGGTATTCAATTCATCACTGGTGAGCAGTAGTTCAAATTTGGCCATGAGGACCAAAGTAACAACACATTCACAGAAGAATCAGATTTTATAGGACAGCACTACAAAAAATCTCACCTGAAATCTTTCTGGCCTCCAATAAGATGTTGGATCTGAAATGTACATCATCAAGTCAGTGACATTTGCACACTGTGTTTTCACCTACACTATTACCCTTATATAAAATCAGATTTCCAAGTCTCAACAGCAAGTCATCAGCCGAACGAGATTCCATGTAAGTCATCACACAGCCCCAAAGAGGCACTTTTCTTATCCAACATTGGCACACATGTAACACACCAAAATCACTCACCTTGGAACCAAGTAGCTTGCTGGGAATAGTGCCTGCAGAAAAGACAAAGCTTGTTGGTTACGAGATTCCTCATGACGCACATCCCTGTCCATTCTCATACCCCGTTTCTCAGGTGTTCATGTATTTTCACTGCCAATCATAGTGAGCTAGTTTAATTCATCACAGAAACTGCGCAGTTGGTGAAATAAAATAAAAAATCCTCAACTAACCTTAATGCAGTGTTTTCAGTCATACAGAAATAAGCTGCTCCTGAATCAGAGAATCATTTATTAGCAAAGTATCCCAAAGTACCACAACTAGTACTCTAGCCATTGTTACAGGATCAACAAAGCAAAGCCCAATTCTCTGGATGTGGAGGCATTTGCTGTACTAAGCAGCCCTTTATGGAACATCTTCAACCTTTCTAGAAACCCCAGTGGTTTCACCATTTCTGGCTGTAGGGCTAGACAGGATGCTTGCCTGCCAGTGGCACTGCAAGTACTTACCACTTTCAACTCTTTCCAGGAGTTGAGAGTCCTGAGACCAGCTGGCATCTAAGAAATGAGAGAGCAATAAATGTCACAAGGAGTAACAGAAAAGGTGTGCTTGAACCAGGCATTTGTTGTCCCATGGATAACAGGTTCGTACAACGCAAATTACAACAAAACCGAGATAAACAACTACCTTTAGACGGCAAAAAGTTATCAGGACAACCTAGGAAAGGAGAACTGAAAATTACCCTGAAATGTTGAGATCAAAAGAGCATTTCAGGTTGGGTGTGGTGGCCCAAGCCTGTTAACCCCAGTACACAGGAGGCTGAGGCAGGAGGATCATTGCGAGGTCGAGACTGGTCTGGGCTACAAAGCTCAAGACCAGCTTGAACTGCAGAGTGAGACCCAGTCTCAGAAATCCAAAAACCAACAAAAAAAGTCGTTTTTTCATTACCAACAACTGCCATCAGAACTCTAACATGCTATAACTGTCATACTTCACAGAGCCATCAAGTTATCGATTCAAATCATCTGACAGTGTTATGAGGGGAAGACGCACCATTAGGAGAACCAACTGTGCTGTTAAGACTGCTTTCTCCCCTTATCACTTCAAGAAGGTGTAAAGTGCAAAACAGCAGTGCCCTCTGCATTTTGTTTATACTGAAAGTGTGCCATATCCCAAGCCCTCATTTAGAAAAGTACCTGTACTCATCCTGGGCAGTAACTGCATTCCTCAGGACTGGTTATGAGACGCTGCAGGCAGAAAAAAGCATTGCTCTTATATCTGTGAATAGACCCCTTGGAAATTCCTTCACAGCACGCCCACTCCTCAGCTTCGAAATGACATCACTCGGGACTCAGCCATATGCTTGTCATTTGCGCTCATCACAGAGTGCTCCGAAGCCCCCCGCTCCGGTTAACCGCGCACCCACCTGGAGCGGCGCTCCGCTCCCCGTCCGAGGGGCGGGCCGTGTCCATCGTCCAGGAGGGGCGCTCCTCTGCGCGGGGCCGTACCTGAAAGCAGAGCGCGCTACGCTGGCGCCTCGCCCGCACGCGGGGGGGCCCGGGCGCCGCTGCAGACGCCGCTCAGAACGCGTGCTTTCCCCACCGAGCCATCGGAAAGAGAGAGTTCGGTCCGCAGTCATCCCCGCAGCGCACCCGGGGCCCGCGCAGGGACGGGGGCCGCCGCACTCACCGCGCCGCCGCCGCAGTCCGGTTCCGACGCGCCGGCCCTGCG